TCCCAACTCCTGCAGCCAGATCCATCCAGTGAAGTCAGTGAGCAGGAGCCATCTGTTGAATGTGCATTAAGAGTAACATGTGAGCAAACGCTACCTCTACATTCATTGGATTATAATTACACACAGGACTATACTCTATGTGATATTTAGGAGAAAAATTGGGGTGAAGGTAGGACAGGGAGAAGAATACACGTCCTAGACGCCAGAAGTATTTCAGGCAGACTTGCCCAGAACAGGCAAACAAGGAATGCTTTTATGCTTTACAGCTCAGAGGAGTTGACTGCATTCTGCTCCGTGACAGCACAGGTCATGACTTTCTGTACGTTCATTTAATTTGAAAATACAACCACATTTATTACACTGAAGCACTCATCACTTCCAAAGTCTTCATGATTAATGCAGGGAAAAGGCTCGATAGACTGGAGCCTAATCATGCTCTACTTCTGTATCACTTTATGATTGTAGCAATCATATGGAAAGATAAAGGCATTTGTTACCCATCCCACCCCCAAACTGGATGTGGAAATGTTCTACGAAACCAAGCTGATGTGCAATAAAACTGCTGTTCTGGCCATTTACCTGTGCTGAAGCTGATACCTAACAAATGGAACCTCAAATCTGTTAAACAGTGTTACTACCTAGCATGCTCGGGGGAGCACAGAAACCAGTAGGGTACAGACAGCAATGTCACCATGAAGGCTGTTGTGACTAACCTTCACAGCCACCTACACGGCTCATGAACACAACCAGTGTTGGGTCATACAGTTAGATCAAGTCTTTAACCCAGTGCACGTATTTCCTTCTTTTACTCTGATGCATCTACTGCAATAAAGACACCCCACACAGGGAAACAGCTTGCTATGCTGCCCTTCAGTTGTCAGTATCTGAGGCAAGTCACCTACACAAGAAAATCACATCACTGTAGATTATTCTAATGACCACTGGATACCACAGACAGAACAGCAGGAGCAACTCATGAGACTGTGGAATAGCATTCAAAGCTGTATCATCATTACTTAAGACAGTTGCTTAGATACCTATGGACTACTGAGGGGAAAACCATTAAACCAAAGCTGTTTCCTGCCAGTTCTCTTCACACTGGCATCACCTACTTACAGGAGAGATACTACATCAGCACTGCACACTCCCTGTTGCTACCCAAGGTAACTTTTCTGAATTGCACACCCGAGGCCCAAAGACTGCCCTGCTCAAATCCTAGTGACCCCAGTCTCTCAGGGGAGCAGGGTGGGGGAAGGCTCACAGGTCTCTCTAGAAGGTTGGGTTTGTTTCAACTCAGGGAGGCAGTCTCCCAAAACAAAGCAAAAAAATCCTCCTGCATTTATCTTGGCTGGCGTTCAAATTCCAAGTTTGCCCAAAACCTTCCAACCCCCCTGCCCCAGTACTATTCTGAAGGAACACTCTGGACACCAAAGGTCCTGAACACCAAGACAAGGGCAAAAGCCTTAAAGACTTTAAAACAGTAGCTTGAATTTGTGTTATGAGGGCATAAACTGCAACCTGGAGTAACTCCAGCTATTTTCTTAATATTTTAGGTTAAAAAATTCTAGACGCACAAGACTCTCAGAGCAGGATGATAATTCCTCAATACTTTATTAAGGTCTTTAATTTACGTACCATCGCCCTGTCAGCATGTCATTAGAGCATGTAAAACACCAGACAGAGGAAACACGTTGGCTACAACAGTCATAGGCTCTCTGAACATTAATGCAGAGTTCTACTACACAATGCAATCAGAATAAAGTAACAGCCAACCTACAGAGGTCGTCAAAAGGGAGACGAGACCATCCTTCCAGTACACACACATTTTACTCACAGCATTTCTTTATGCACAGACACTCACAATAGGGACTCACCAAGGAGTGGAAAAAAGAAAAAAAGTGAAGAGCTCCAAACTCCGGGAAAGTTCAAAAAGACCTAGTTTGCATACAAAAACTCAGTTAATTCCAGAAGTCCAGTGCAAGTGGACTTCTGAATATTATTAATCAGAAACGCTACCAATTTACCATGCAAACATTTTAATTGTTTAAATTGCTCTCTTCCAAGCATGAAGAGACAGAAGCACCACTCCACAGTGGTATCTCCTATGACAGTGACAAAGGACCACCTGCTTTTAACTTAAATAATAAATTCCTGTTTTGTTCACTGAGGCTGAATACCCACAGGATATTATTAACATTTCCCCTCCAGCATCTGGTCTAATAAAGAAACACAAAACAGCTTTGCTGTAGTACAAAAGTTTACAGAAAGTTCGACAATTTAAAGACAATACAAAATATGTTGTCTGAATTCAAATAATTTATGTAAAGTACATGAATGAGAAAACAATGGTGAGAAGATTTGAGTAACCATATTATCAGATGCATGTTCTTTGTTCCTAGAGATAACATACAGTCAAAAACACATTTATATTTTAATTTACAATAAAAGACAGCATTTCAAAATAAACAATTTCAGGTTTATCAGCCCTTTAATGTGAAAAAATTCCTGTTAACAGAGGACAAACTGATAGAATAAAAAAATGAAGCAATACTGAAGTCTCTGAAAAAGCCTGTAGCGTTTGTTTTTCCTTTTATTCAGGAGGGAGAAGACAACACAAAACAAAGAGCGTTTTTGTTAGTGCTCTGTCTTCTCAGTTCAGTGTTTTAAACAGTGTGATCAGAGCATCCAGGATCACTTTCATCCATTTACACCAGAAAAAAGCTACCGTCCTTGTGAGGAGGCAGGGTGCAGATCAGGCACAGATCTTCCCTTCCGCATGAAGCAGCACCACATCCACACAAGAGTGGATCCCACAGGCAAGGCCAGCTACCCCTACTGAACTCAGAATGGCAGCTTGGCCCCAACAAGCACCTTCTCAAATCACACGTTATTTCTTCATGTTTGCCAAACACTGAAACCCCAGAAGTCACCTTCTTGATTACGGTATCAGACAACAACCTGAAACACCCAAGATTTCTTACCATGTGTCAGTTGCCCTCCACATATTTGTGGTCAACTAAATAGTTTAACAAGACAACACATATCAATTTCTTGGAAGATACTTTAGTTCATTAATTCTTGATAAAAGCATTGGTTGCAGTACAAGTCTGACATACAGCAACAAAACATACTCAGTTTACATGCACAAGCAATTTAACAATAGTACATGGTCTCTCCTATTGCCATTATAAAAATGAACTCTCACAATGACAGCAGACACGGCCTTCTGATTGTTCTCATGAGCTCCAAAAAAAGCTATGAAAACAGTGTTCCAGTTGGTATGATGGCAAAGAACATAGGTTTGGCCACTACTGGAAGACTGCAACGAAGATGCCAGTATCGTAATGGGAAATAGTGCTGGAACTACTGCAAAAACAGCTACAAAAAAGCTATGCAAAATTGTTTTAATGTGTACTTCAGTTTAAAAAAATAACATGTGGGAAATACAGCTCTGTACAGAAACATACCAGAAACAAAACTACGTGCAAATGAAGAAAAGTTAAGAGTTTAAGGCAAGACAAATGTGTGGATGATTAAAACACCTGATCACTGAAGTATTGTAAACCAGCAGCAATCTGTTGGGGAAAGTGTGGTTGAAGCTGGTTTTTGGGTTTTCGATTTTTTTTTTTTTTTTAATAGACTTCCAGCTTTGAAAATGCAAGCCAAAACTCCTCTGTGTCTGTGTTCTATTCTTGCCTGGCTGAGATTTCTTTCAGTTTTACAGTTTGGTCCAGATTCTCCTGGTTTAATGTACAAAGTACAGTATATGCTGCTAAGACTATTCACTGCAAGTCTTCCAACATCTGCTTTTCAAAAAAAACAGATACAACACTGTCACCTTTATTAAAGATTGATGTCAAAGTTTCAGTACTGCTGTTTAAAAGCTTCTAGAAATGAGAACAGAGAACTCAGATTTATGATCAAGAGATAAGCAACAGGCTCTGTAAAACGTACACGTTACAATAAGACTTTTCCTATGGCAAATAAAAGTCATCAGGGGAGTTAATTTTTATTTTTTTTTTTTTAAATTTCTTTCTAGGTTTCAGAAGTGCTAACAATTCCAGCAATAAAACTTTCAAAGTGCCCTGGCTGTGCTTTTCTTTTCAGTGTCTTTTCCAAACGGTATTCAAACAAGTAAGAAACCCTCTCCTCTAATCAACAGTTATCAGTTTAGCATTATGCCTTTGGCAAGTCAGATCCTGAAATGTGATGAATATATAGTAGTTGTCATCAATTTATTTGTAATCATATAAAAAAAGCACAGTTATATGTGACTGCACTGTCAGATCTGTAATACACCACATAGGACTGCAAAAATAAAAGGCAAAAAAGGAAAAAGGCCTCAAGTCTCCTTTTTTTGTTGTTTGTTTTTTCTACTAGTTGTCTCACAGCAAAAAAAAAAAATGGCAAAGGCATCTTAAATACAAAGTTATGATCTCCAAATCAGGTCCTCTAATCCAGACTGATGGTATACTTCATTATTTAAACTGAACCACCCACTACAAACTTGCAATGTCAGCACTCATTCATACCCTGAAGCATTTCCCAGCCTTGTCCACCCAATCAATTATTCACACCTTACTTTAAGCAGAACAATAAAAAAAAGTTTTGTGGTTTTGAAACAACTGGTCTGAATTCTTTAACACCACACTCAAGACTAAGGAAGACAAAATTAAGGATATCTCAATTCAATTCTCAAAATATTGTTTACAAATGAGAAAAAAAGGCGTGAATATGAAAGCAGAAAACGTGCTAACACACCACTGAAAAAATGGACTTGGTAAAGATCCTACCCTGGAAACACTTACCTTGTCAAAGGATTAAAATGATCATTTCAGAAGACAATTCAGAGACGCTTAGTCAGAATTGTGAAAAAATGCAAACTAGACTCTCCTAGATCAGTGAAATACCCAATCTAAAGGTAGTGCAAAATGATGGCTGGTGAGGGCGCAACCAGTCGTCTTGCAAAGTGAAGGACCTGACATTACTCACCACTGACCTCCTTAATAATCTGCATTGAAGGACCTGATGAACAGCTGTGAAATTTTGTCATGCAATTACAACTGCTAAGCAACTAATATCCAACTCAAGAGTGCTACTGTCATCCATGGTGGATTATTAAAGCAATAATCCATTAAAGAAAAAGTCAAAGGGGAAAGTGGTAAACATCAGTTGCCATAAGAGAAAACACTTCAAAAAACTTACAGTTAAACAAAAACTTAGATGGTATCTTATAAAAAGAAGTACTGAACACAACAACGCCACAATAAATTAGTGTTTCCATAAAACGACATGCTGAAGGTTTTGTTCCCAAGTCTATACATTTTTTACTGTCTGTTAATTCCTAAATATTGACAGCGTAATTGAATTATTGAGGTACAGCAGTTTACATTTGTGGATGTCTTGTAAAAAGGTTATTTTTTTTCTTCCAGTTTTTCTTCCTCATCGCCAAAGAACAACAAAGGAAACATTCCTAAAAGGCAGCCAATGGTCACTCCAATAGCTTTACCCTAGAGAAAGGGGGAAAAAAATTAAGTTTCTCACTGTTCAGTTGTTATTCGTTTGCTGTGTAGTACCAACACTACCAGGAAAACAGACCCTTTGTTCTAGCTTTTGGATAGAAGACCCATTTTTCTTAGCATGCAGACTAGAAACACAATCTATGAGAGACACACAGATACGACAAGGTTATAAACAGTGTACGCTGTGATAAAAGGCAATTCTGAATAAAGAGGAAGGGAATGACCCATGAAGAGCTGCTCACATGGTAAGGAAGGAGACAGAGTCAAAGGATTAGTAGGATGGCCAGGAAGACAAGGAAGGAAAAAAACCAACACACATTTTAGGTGTAATTATAAGCTATCTGTAAGATGACAACAGTTAATCACTGGAGAGTACTCCTAGCCTTTTAATGACCACAGGATAGTAATTAATAAAAAAAAAAAAAAAAAAAGACTGGAAAACATTTCACAATTGACCCAGATGTAAAAGTCAAGAGGAAAGGAAAGAGGCAAGACATGCAACATCCAAACCACATCACCAGCAGCAGGTGGATAGTGTTGAGAAACTTAAGACAGTGGGTAAAAAAGAAAAAATGCTAGCCTACAGGCCAAGATACTCAGATGTCTTTTCACAGAAAAGTGCTGTCAACGAACTGCAGTGCAATGACAGGCTTTTGCCACGGACTCTGCTTCCACCGAGAAGATTCTTATGCTGGACAGACTACATGGCAGCCAGCTGACAACATGACCATTCTTTGCTGCTCTATCCTTTCATCTATCACTGCTAAAAGGAGACATTTTTCCCCCCCAGCTTCTCCTCAGCAAGTGTTATTTCTCTTCTCTTAAATCTGCAAAAAGATGTGTTTCCTCTGGAAGGTTCATTCTGGCAAAGTGAAAGAAATATCTGTTTCTTTCTTCAGTTTCTTCTAATCTGTTTCGTTAATCAAAATAAACTAATGGGCTCATTGCTGAAGTGGGACTGCTTCAAATGTTTAAATGTTAATTAAGTGATCATCCTGAAAATTAATCTGCAAGATGAGTGTCCCATAACTGTAAATCCAGTCAGTGAATACTACTCAAATGCTAAAATTTTATCCAGGGGAAAGCTAATTTCATATCCAAGCTAATTATAGAATATTAAAAATTAATACATACTAGCACAGGTATATGAATAGCAAGCACATACAAAGAACCTATGTAAACTACTAAGTGGCCATAATTTTAAAATAACTATCTTATCACAGTAGCTAGAGCTCAACCCAGGTATCTGCACAGCATACATGAAGTCATGACAGCAACCATCCACGTTACTAGCCACTCATGGCTTGCTGCATACAAAAATCCACCCAAGCCTGAAACAATCCAGTCTCACGGTGCTCCCTGATGTCAGCTCACAACTAAACCTTCTGGCAAATGTGCAAGATGTTGGTGGTCGTGAAGTATTTAATGGCCAAAGTGACAAAAAGGATTTACCACATATTAGTTGAAAAAAAAAAAAAGCTCCATGGACACAGTGCCTACCTACGGGATACTCACCAAGTGTGCACTGAGACGCGTTTGCCACATATCGGCTTGTTTGGGTGTCAGATCAGGGATCGACAGACCCAGTCGTGAAGCTAGCGCTTCTACATAACCTGCAAGACTGAAAGAACAAGAAAACAAGAACAAACGATTTTGGATCTGACAGTACCTTCTAGCGAGGGAAATATTTGAAGCACTGAACTTAAAATGAATAGCTTTTCCTTCAGCACACTGACAAAACCACAGAGAGATAAATATGGGAAAGTGTTTGGACTTCTGATGGTCACGTTTTGCAGTGTAAGTTAACTAATTTTCTCACTGATTTAATACTCAATATTTCCATAAAAACTTTATGCAGTAAGTCACAACTGGTGTGAATGTTGCTTTTGCAGAGCTTGTAAGTTCCTTTACTCAAGGAAAGATTACACACACATGCACTAGTTAGTAATAATCCTTGCTATTTGCAGGAAAAAAAAAATAGCGTGGGAAAACGAGGCATAACAGAAAGCTTTACTTTCAGCAATTAATCAGAAATTTCCTTTAAAAAGTAAAAAAACCACTCAGTTGTATCTGTTTATATCAGAAATAGGTTACCTATATCTGGACACATCTCATATACATAACTGTTTTATGTGAGAAGGAAATGTCTTCATATCTAGGCATACTAGTATTCGAGGTGGTGTATTGTGTACAGTCTATATATTATATGATGAAAAAATGGGGGTTTCCATTTTGTATTTCAATGAACGCACTTAATGTAGAAAAAAAATTCTAACGGTTCCTTAAAAGCAAGCACTACCTACAGACTACACTGAATCAGGTTAAGCACCAATCCCAATTTTATCACTTAAAATATGTGATACTGTGATAGCAGGAAAGTTATTCTATTTCTGAACTATAGCACTGCAGTTTTAACCTCAACAAGAGCCACCTGATGTTCCAACTTTTTTTAGCAAGGACAGAATACATATGTACAGTCATGTAATTTACTGAAGCAAAATTCAAGAGGTAGGAAAAAAAAATAAAGTAATTTCGGCAGTTTGTATGTTTTAGTTCAGTAGCACCAATAGTGTTGGCAAGAGATGGGGGGGAAAAAACCAAACAGTCTTAATACAAGTTCAGACATACCCCAGTCCAGCTAAATCTGAAACAAGGTTTCCCAAAGCTGCAGCTGGAGAGAGGAAGAGGGAAAAAAAGAGAAGGCAGCAAGTATTAATTACAAACAAAATCAACTGGCAGCCCTCCCTCCCCCTGCTATCCCAGTGACCCTCACTCTGCTCAGTATATATAGCATAAAAGACTAGAAGTAATTTTCTTTTAGAGTTCTTCTAACCTTATTACAGTTTGTGAAGATACTAGCAGACTAACAAGAGGAAGTGCAAACATTTTTCTCAACTTCTAGGAAGAAACACTGACAAACACAAAAAGGCCAAACTGACACCTGGAAATCAATGTAACAACTTTTCAGATGAGAGTTAAAAACAGCCAAGCGTCGCTGCCAGTTTCATACAGCTAAGGCTGGGCACCAAGCAAGGCCTTAACAGTGCCTCAAGAGGCACAGGAGCTCTGGAAATCGGAGCTGTTACTCATGCATGTGGCTTTGATAAACTTTGACATATCCATGAACTGTGTCGATTTAGGAATAAATACTGCACACATGACTGAATAAAGTCACACACTTAAAATATGTGACTTCCCAGCAGATCTTACTGAGATAAGCTTTCTTGTGACTGTCTTGCATTGCAAGAGAGGGCGGCAAATTACTAAATTATGAAATTACTCTGCTATATACATTGCCATGTAAGCTATCTGCGTGCTTTCGAGCAATGCTGCACCTGCAGTTGGTGGATCCAGGAGCAGTTTCTTCCCCTCTCCCACTGCAGAGGCACCAAAGCTGTTGAGCAGAGCTTATCAGTTTTGGCCCAGTGCAGGAGCAGGGTGGCTGCTGGGCCCTTCCCATGGTATCACATGGAGGCAGAGAAGCCACCAAAAACACTGGTGAACACAATAAAAGGACACCAACACTGATTACTTAGCACTGCAAGCAAGCAGCAACTTACAAATACATACATATACACGTACATAAATATGAGGCCCTAGGGCAGTTCCATTACAGAAATGCAAATACACTTTCCCAGGTGACCCATGATTTGAACTTTTACATTAAAACCAACAACAAGCACTTCAAAAGCTATCTGAACTGTAATTCCACTTCTGTAAATGGAATATGCCCTTCCTTCAACCACAGGACGTTTCTTTATCAGGAAAAGCAGCTACAAGACCAATGAAGAACAATTTCCAGTCCTGTGGCCCACTTTCCGCCTAGAATACAGGAATGTGCCATATTAGTCTACATATATTACATTTTTCTTACTTGCCTGCCATAGTCGAAATGCCTAGGACAACTCCAATTGACAGTTCTATTTGGGTTCCCTGAAAAATAAAGAGTTTTCTCATTATCTAAGGGATTTGGAGTTAAAATACACGATATCGATTCAACTGGCAAAAGTATTGCTTACTGCTTGCTTAAGTTAAAATTGAAAGGATAAAGGGACATTACTTCTACTAGATCTGCACAACTTCTGCCCTCCTGGCATATGTATTTCCCTCTATGACAACAGCCTACTTCTGATACTCTTAGTATTTTATATTGTTTCATAATGGTCACCTAATGGACAAAACCAGTCTTTATCTCTGCATACTGTTTTCTCCACTGCAATTCTTAGCTGAATGTATAGCTCTGAATGCAAATATCTACAAACACTGAGCAAACAAATAAAATGCAGTACTGTAGTTCCTTACTTTTTCAGCTGAAGAAACACAAAGTCACATTGAACCGCATGATGAAACCGCAGTGTGTTGCCCAAGGATGAGAGACAATGGGTATGAATCAAAACAAGACACATTCCAGTTATAAGAAAATGTTTTCTACTGTGAGGACAGTCAAGCATTGGAAGAGGTTGTCCAGACAGGTTGTGCAGTCTCTGCCCTTGGAGCTCTCCAAGAACCACCACGTAAAATCATGAACAACTTGGTCTAGCCTTACAGCTGACCTCACTTTGAGCAGGAGGTTAGACTAGAGACCCTCAGAAGGTCCTGAGCAGGAGCAAGACTGGAGACCTAGTGGGTCCAGAGTCCGTTCCCACCTGAACTATCCCACAATTAAGATCACACTGTCATTCATAATGCTACACGAGGAAGGGTATCTTTAGCCTTTATCCATCTTCCTGTGCCACTAGCCCACATTTGATCTTCCACATGGACATGAAAATATCTCAAGCGTTACTCAGAAATGCCAGTCTACATCAGTAGAAATCAGCACCAGCACTAATACTGCCTGCATCGCACAGAACAAAGGAACTCATTAGTAAAAATCCTGAAGACCTATTCATCAATGCATTATAATCACATTATCATCTGTCAGTACAAAAAGAAAAAAATGTATTGACCACATGATCATAAACGTGTCTTACAGCACAAATTAGGAGCGGAAAAAAAAGCAAGCCTCTTCTTAATTCAGTAAAACTAATTACAATACTGGCCTTCAGAAGGAATAACAGTCCTTTGCATTCTGCAAGGGCTCAATAGAGCATGGACACCTTCTTTAAAAAAGAAAAATTAAAATAGAAATTAGTGAGTTGATACAGAGGGAATGGAGTCTTCCTGAAGCTCTCGTTTACTCATTTAATACTTGAACAATATGAATCATGCCAACTTGATCAAGGAATTAAATAATGAACTTACCGCAGCAATCATAATTGCGTTATCCAAAAATCCAAACCCTACAAAAGGTAATGCATTGTGGAAGAACACTAGAAGAAATAAGTAACAAAGAGAAAATAAATATTTGTAAGAGAGTTCACTAGTTCACACCAACAACTGAAATGTCAGTCTAATACTGCCTTTACGAGAAACAAAGACAACATACATAAAATCCCTGTCCTACTACTACTGTTAGCGATCTTTTTATTTCTGTTAGGTTTTGTAAAACCCTTTGTTATGCAAGTGTTACTACTGGCTTGCGAAGAACCAGTTAAACCAACTTACTCTTTGCAAATACTTGTACAATTTTGGATAGAAGCCACTTATGCCTACTAGTGCATAAGAGAAATATTTACACAAACTTTGATTCTATTTACAGTCCCACTAACTGATGTTGCAGTCATCACTGAAGATTGCCAAGCTGTCTCACCAGGCACCCTGCATTCTTTTCATGCTCAAAATAAAGCCCTTTTCCCTGCAAGTCCCTCTCTATTCCTGTGCAAGAGCTCCATCATCTTCACACGTTACTAAACATTCATGTTTTAGGAATATTTCGCGGGCCTAGGCAATTCTTATCCAAACTCCTTCAGCTAAATCTACAAATGTTCAGGTGGTTTTCATCTGTGTGTCACACAGCATTAATTATCTCACTGTTCAACCCAAACTTCTGTATCTTGATTTTGTTTAGGCATTATCATGAGGACCAGTTAAGACTTGAAGCGGCTCCTCAATACATTAAGAAATCAAGTTCCACCTTTTTGTTTCATGCATTTTTTTCTTTTCATTCCTGAAACTCCAAGTAAATCCTATTTGAAAATATATTCTAATTTTCTGTTCTATTTTCTCTCTCAAGTTTTAGCTTGTAAGCTTCTGATTAAGATGAGACTGAATTTGCACAGCATTGCCTCCAGTTGAGTCTCAAGTTGCAAGCATCATAAGGCTAAATACTGCACCAACAACAGGCTACTTCACTAAAACCAGTGCTTAGAAAGTTAGATCCATTCACCTTTCTTAACACTTCAAATGCATCAGCTGCTTAGGTCTTTTTCCCCACTTCAGATGAGAACAATAATTCCTACATTTTATAAACTCACAGAGAGGCAAACATATGAAGAGGGAAGAAAGAAGAGTGCATGAACCTCACAGTCATGTGAAAACAAACTGGTTTGAGTCCCTTCTGGATTTACTTCTCGCAGACAGCATGAATCCATGATCACAGAAAAAACAAAGCCACACAAGAGATCTTTCATGCTCAGGTACTAGAACACATTTGGACTTCTGTAACTATTCTGTAAGAATACACACAACTTCTTAAACGCACAGGTAAAAGACTAAAGCATAGAATGTATGAATTTTTTTTTTTATTATTTTTTTTAAAAACCACTGCAGGACAAAGACCCCCCCAAACCATAAATAACAAAAAAGCACACAGATATGCCCAGTATTTTCAAGTATTTTCAAAAAGTGTGTACCAAGCTCTGGAGCTACAAAGGGAGCTCAAATTCTTACCAAAATTGACAGAATTTTGGAATCCATGGAGTAAACAGAACCCCAAGGACTAAGCAAAAAATCCCCAAAGAAAATAAAGCGTAGATACCTAGAATAGGAAAATCTTCAACTAAGTATGTTTGCTCACTGAGAGAGTATAAAACCACAGAAAATACACTGATTTGGAAACTAAATCAGAATTAGAATGACCATGGTATTATAAAGAATACCAAATCTATTTCCAATTTATCTGCAATTTTATCCTACTTCTCAGTCCTTTTAAAATATATGTGACAAAAAGCAAGTCAATAGTTTTAAGCTTAAACACAAAATCCTCCACAAGGTACTGCAGCATCAGCACCGCTTGGCTTAGAAAAAAGTGTTTGCTGCTGGCTTTGAACAGCACGCGCTCGTTGGGGCTTTCTGTCCCACTTTCACTGAACGGTGTGCATTCTCCAGGTGAGGTGTTATGAAATAAAGACGACAGGGTGACCGTCGGTGCTTGCTTTCATTTTCTGTTATTTCATACGACAGGGATGAGGACAGACCAGCACTCATAGGAGAAAGATGAAGCAATTCAAAGACAGACTGAACAAATACTGAACCACATCCAAACATTCTTCTTTTACCATGTTTCAGTTGTCCTGGAGATGGTGGTGCAACCTCCAACTTCTCTAGAGAAGTCAAAATGGAATAAGAAAGTTAGCTAGTTAATATCAAATTCAGTCTATTATAATATAAAGTGTTTACCAAATTACTAGCAGGCAAAAAAGCAGTTGTTAAATTTAACAGCTTTAAAATTTGAAGAAAAATGCTTCACATCTACATTTTTATTATTTTTACATAAATACATTAAATGTCAAAAGCCTTAGAATATTACAAGATTAAAATAGTATAAGTAACAGCATACATTAGAAGCAGCTTGATAGCCATCTTTATTACTGAAAATTAGAAAAAACACACTAAATTTAGAAAAATCAGGAAACCTAGAGGGAATTGTATTTTATTATCTGTTTTTAGAGGTCCTCTAAGCATGCAGTACACAACCTTCTTTCCTCCAGAGCCAGTCTGCAAAAAAAACCCCTACCATTTCTGTTCTGGCAGAAGGCATCTTTTAACAGCTAGTACGATAATAAAAGCAAAATACTATGACGACATTAGAGACCGCTGATTTCAGTAACAGCGGATCACACTTGATCATTTGGTGCATGTTTCAGATATCCTGGCATCAAACCATTACGAGCCTGGAAGGACCAGGATGTCACTCCTGAACCAGACACAGTACTCTACAGGAAGCTAATGCAGTCTATTAGAAGTGACACACAGAACGCAGCAGCAACAGCTACCCATTTCACAGGGGCAAGGGAATGAAAACATGCTACTTTTTAAGGCTGTTTTTTTGTTTGTTTGCTCTTTGTTTTTTTTTTTTTTAAGTGGATTTTGAGACTAGGATCCCTTTTTAAGGCAGGAAAAAAGTTGCCCCAATAGCTTTCAGTATTATGAACACTAGAGCTTTTGACCAGGTGTTTCTATGCTTTTGATTAGGTAACTTCTACAAGCAAAGATAAAAATATGGTAAAACATGAGAGGAGCCTACAACACTACCTCAAGGATTCAAATTTTACTTGGGGAAGCCAAGTACATGGAAAGACAGCACTGCAAAACCCAGGCTGTGAATCATTTGAGCAGATCTCTGAACTGTGCAGACCAGAGTGAGTATACCTGCATTCAAGTCATTCCTATATTCAAAGCTATTGTAAAGGAGAAACTAAAATACTCACTTAAAATAGCTTGTGGGGGAAAAAAGTAAAAACCGGTTGGACGATAATAGCAGTATTCAACCAACCAGGACACTGACTTCCAAGATAATTTCATTAGTAACTACTAAAGCTTGAAAGTTGTTATAATGTAAGACCTTAAACTAAAGAGCTGCTTCTTCCCTTTGACAATAGATAAACTACCTAAGCACTACAAACACCAGTTATCATGCAAGTAGAAGAAGTACAGCCCAAATACTATAGAAATACATACAGGTTCCCCATCCACTACAAATGCTGAGGAATACACAGATTCTAACATCAGGCTTGAGGAAGAACAAAAGAACATCCCACGGTAAACAGAGGGGAGCTGTGCAAGAACCAACATTCCACAGCCACAGGCATCGTTGGTGCCTGACCGTCAAAAAAAGTCAGATCAAAATTTTCAGCTTGTCTTCAGGAAGGATGAATCCAGGAATGGGACCTATTTTCCCCAACACAAACTACTTCTGCACTTGTCTGCATATGATCTCATTCCATCCCCGCAGGTTAAGCGAAGCTTTTACAGAAGCATGGAAAAGAAAGCTGTCTGTATACACCAGTACTGCCATTTCAGCAGCTTTTCTCAGAGATAGCAAATTCATACAACACTGAGGAAAATCAGAGCCACTTTGAACCAAAAAGATGATCTGAGGCCACTGTTTCCAAAAGCTCTACGTGCCCTCGGGGTGGCCAGGCAACCTAAGCCAGCACCATTACGTTCCTGATGAAGCTTTCCTAACCTCCTCTTGCTCCATCCTGCTGGATGCCAGGGAGAAAATGAAATCCCAAAATCACTAACTCAAGTATAGGTGGTCACTGAAGAGAGTGCTGCCCTACACCGACCAGTACAGTTCCTTGGCTTCATGTGACACTGCCACTGAAACCGTCCCCGCTGAAGTACCATCTATTCTTCAAGCCTAGCTCTCCATATACAAGGACTTCGTGATAAAAAGCTGTAACAGCACACAAAGGTCCAGGAAACACTTTTACCTCTAAGGCAGGCATCTTTTCATAGTCTGCCCTGATTCCGGTATCTAGTCAGTTTAGATAATTCCCAAGTGAAGTATTTTGGGTATCAACACAGAAGGTCAAAGACTACTCGGTTTGTCACACCCCACTACAAAGCTCTAGAACATCAGACTTGTGGATTTAACTACAACTGATGTTTGAGTTTGATAGCACACGGCAGTCTACATAATTACACTCTGTTCAGTGTAGCTAGAAAGCTATTACAAAAAGCTAAGAACTGGTGCATAACTGATTTTAGAAACTCATTACCAAAAGGAGGAACTGAGGGCAAGAATTCGGTAGGAGAAAAAAAATAATCGTTTACGTATGTGAATAACGGCAGTTTCAGTCACATTAACTAGAAAGGACAAACTTCCTCCTTTGGAACGTAAGTCAAGGACTATCTTGGCATGATTTTACAAGGAGGGAGGCTGGGGAACACTACTTTGGTGTTAGAGGAGAGACGAGTTAGCGCAAGGTAGTGTCAAACAGCAAGGTATCAAATAAGCAAAAATTACTTCATCATTGACAATCTGCTTTGGTAGTATCGGATTCCTGCTAAATAGCTGTTGTATGAAGCAGGGCACCTACGGTGCTTCGACAACAGTAGGGCAGTCAAACATCAAACGGGAGGTCGCTAAGGACAGTGGCACCACACTCTGGAGACCAGACTGCTCTTGTCTGGCCATAGCGAACTCCTCTGCAGGTAACAGCGTATTCCTGTCATGTCCGTAAGAACTTTCCTTTGTTAAAAAAGAGTCTTGCTACACTCATCTGAAAGTGAGCCTGACATGCAGCTATCCTCCACAGTGAGATAAAAACTAGTTTGCCAGAATTAATCTGGGATCACACGTGTTAATGAGACAGGGATAGGAGAAGTCTGCCAGAAGAAGATCAGTTATCCAGCACAGGCCAATCCTGCCCACGCTGCAGAGAGGGAAGCTCCAGTCCCGACACCCTCTCTGCCTGAGCCAGGACAAACATCTCCAGCCCAGAGATGTCTAGTCCCACTCTGCTCAAAGCAGGGCCAAAGTGCTCAGGACCTCAGCACACGGGACCTGTAGGACCAGGCTCAAAGGAACAAGCCTTTAAGCACAAAGCAGTATTCTCCAACAGCTGAAGTAGAGAGCGCTGCCTGCTGCAGGGAATGGGGCTGGACCAGCTCAGCTCTACTCACAGAGCCCAAGGCTTAGTTTAAAGCTGGGACACTGGAAGGAAAAAAAAGAATTAAAGCAGAAAGAATTAAATAACTACTGTAGCACGAAAGCCAAGAGCCATTTTACAGAATCACTTTCAGTATCATCCCTTTAAAGCATAACATTTTAAAAGTGAAAGATAGGAAGGCACCAGGGGAACATATCTCTTGGAGAGCCAAAAAAATTCTTTAAGCAATTTTTTTAAACCTCTAGATAGCAAAATGTATTTCAGAATAGGGTATTTATTCACATGAAGCTGTTCTGACTACTTGAAATTTCAAGGCTCAGCAAAAAAATGAGAAAAATCTTCAGAGAGTACAGCAAAGGATGTGTTTTACTGGAGGGAAAAAAAAAAGTCCAAATTGCAAAACCCCCTTTCAAGAACTGAAATCAGGCAGAATCCAACAGTTCAGAGTTTAAATGTCTGGGAAAAAACCCAAAGTACTCCAGTACAGCATTCCACAACAGCCATTCACCAGCTCGTCCTGTGCCACAGTGCTGAATAAGACACAAGAATTCACCTTATTGCAGAAGGAATAAAATGAAATGGCAGAGTAAGGAATACTGCTATTTTCTAACTGACATTCATTATCATAAATGAAGTTATAAACCAAGGTTCAAGTGGAACACAGGTCACAAGCCTTGAATTACCAAAGTCTAGGGAGCAGGAAAAAAAATAAAACCTGCCTCTTAAATCTATTCTTGATCTTTTTTGAATTTACAGTATCACTTTTTTTGCTAACTAAACATATACTATTTTGGGTTTTTTTTCCTGATAGATAGAACCAAGCGGGATAGAACCCGGGGGGAATATAAAACTGTCGACATAAATAACACCATTATCTACAACTTGGCCCAAACCCAGCAAGTTCAATTAACTCTGTCAACTGTAGCCAACTTTAACCAAGACAGTACTTGCAATTCAGTTTTAAGATTATTTTTAGCCAACAAAAACCGCCAACTGACTAACGGGTAATGGGGGTGCATTTATTCACAGTTGGTGAAAAAAACCCCACTAAACAAAAGCCAGATAGTTGTCATCACGAGTTTTTGAATTATCAGTTTTTTAAGAACGGGCATACAAGGTAACTTGCAAGCCTAAAGGCATATATTATTATGTTTTACTCAAATTGCAGCTAAGATTGCTGTAAAATTTTATAGCTAAATCTGTTACTGTCACCCAAGGGCAGGAAACACATAACAGTGGTAACAGGTACTTGGGCCAGGGCTATCCCAGGAAGAAAAATGCTATAGCTGAGTATTGTTAAATCTAAGACAAGAATATAAGCAGTGTTTCACAGATTTTTAAATAGTGACCAAATTGTTACGATTAATGATTTCACAATGTATATCAAGCAGGTAAGGAGTAATACGAAAAAAATTACTAATCTCAGTCCATTACAACCCCGTTGTATGCTCCGAAGGGTAGTATGTTGTCTGGAAATCTCAACTCCATCAATCCTTTTCCTCCAAAAAGTCTGTCCAGGTCACTTCAGCAAATCATTCAGACTGCAAGGGCTTCACTTGCGCAGAACAAGAAATCAAACCAATTGTTGTGTCTATTATAAAGAGGTACTCCTTTACACATGAGTTCGTAAGAGGATCTTTATCCCCAAAATTCGGGATTGGAGCCTAGAAACAAGATGTGTGTTATTGCTCTGTTCACTACCT